TGCAAGTCCAGTAGGCTGAGGCAAGAAGATGCCCAGGTTAGAAACCTCTTCCTAAAACCTGTTTCCTTCTACCCCATGGAGATCAGGGAGGACTGATGAGATGGTGTCTGTAGAGCATTCTGAGCTCAGGAGACAGCGATGTAATATAAATACAAAAGTATTATTCCTTTTTCTCCTTCCCAACCTCCCATTCTTCCTGTCCCATTTTTAAACCTGTACTTATACAAAAGCAGTAAGGCCTCAGGAAATTGGAACCAGAGAGTTCCAGAGATCTGGGCAATTACATTTGAGAGGGCAAAGAAGAACCCACACTAGCACACCGGGAGGTCATTTCAGACCTTCCATCTCTCCTGCCATCACTTTTCCTCCACCTCCCAGTTCTTCCCCTAATAATATTAAGTATATTTCATGGATTCCTCCTATGAACCCAAATCTGTGCTAGGTACTTTACACAGATCCCAGTTTGGTCTCCCAAACAATTTTAGTCCTGCATGGGAGGACTGAATGATGAATCTCTTTCAAGCAGTCCACCAGCTCCAGACAGGTATCCCCGCCAGAAGAAAGGTTAAGGTGTTGATGATGACGATATAAAGTGCCTCCAAGGATTTTTACATTTCAACCAGAAATAAAAGCATGAAATTTAGATTGCAGAACTTCAGATCTTGTTAAGAATTAGTAAGGAAAGTATCTCCAGCAAGAAGGGGCCCTCAAATCACGTCACAAGTAATAAGAGGCACTGACCACAGTATCATGATTAAAAACTTAAACTCTGCTTCAGAAAACCCAACGTTCAAATCCAAGTTTCTTTTGACTCCAGGAAAGTTACTTAACTTTTTAAGTCACATTTGTAAAGGAGAAATAACATCTCACTCATACATTAGAGGAGATGTTACCTTGTAAATCACTAGCCTTGGCTACATGGTAACCATTACACTTATTACTTGTAAGGGCAGGTCAGATGAGTCTATGTTGTGACATCCAATAGTGACTACACAATATGGCATCATTCAGGAAGGTCAGGTTTGGTCTGTGGTCACCTATGCAGCCTGACCCCTCAAACTCATTCAACCCTTTCAACCTGAAATCTGCACAAATCTGAGCACAGAAGAAAACTAGAGCAGAAGAGTAGAAGTACTTGTGAGACTATAGAGAAGACAGACTGGCAGGAGGTACCCTACATTCTGAGGGCATGGATATCAAAGTCCCAGAAACCGAGTTTCTTGAGAGCAAGTACTGTGTCAGGCTCTTTCACCACTGTATACAAACTAAGCTCTGGGCTAAACATGGGGTAATCACTCAACAAAGGAATGAAAAAATGCCTTCCTCTGACAGGCAGGTATGTCATGGATGTCTTAGACTGAGACAAGCCCAAAGTAGATGAGTCGGCTGGAAGCCAAGCACTAGTCTTCTACTGCAAAACAAAGACCACAGTGTCCACTCAGTACCCAGAGCCTAGCCATGCTGATCAGCCTCTGCCAGAAGCACCATACACTGGACCACAGGACTAAGAGACTGTTAATAAGATTTACCTCAGAGGCACGTGGGTTAAATGCCTCCAGGGGCCAGGCAGGGATGGATGTAAATGAATGCTGTGTGCCAGGTGTAAAAACAACCGGGAGTGGTAGGACTGTGAAAAGTGTGCCTTGACTAAGAAACACAGCTGCCATTCAGTTAGTCACCACTGCCACGAAGGCATTCAACTTGAAGAGAAAACAGAAATCCAGATTTTTATGTGAAATTTTCTTATTTTCAGAGCTCTAAGGAGGCCAAACTAAACATCTCTGAGCTTTACGTTACAACTCTTGCTTTAGTGTATCCATCAGCCAGGTAACTCCTGGCAGGTGCAGATATAAGCAAGCAACCAAATCCTTATCATCAAGAGAAGTGGAAAGAGGCAAGTGTAATGGTTATGATGAAAATATGTCAGAAAGCCCTTCAAAATCTAGGCAATGCTAGTTTTCATTCTGTTGAGTAGGGACTGAGAAAGCCTCTTCTTCTAGATCTTTAATGAGATTAATAGAGTAGGTTCAAGAAGGATTAGAACAAGACATGAACCACTGAGACACAGGCTTTATGCCCTAGGAAAGCCAAACATCTTTTGCATCAACCCCATCACTGCTCACAATGTTTCTTGAGCTTCCTCTCGTAATCATCTTTGAACTAGATTTTAAGCTACACACATACACACACACACACAGTGCCATTATTTTACAGTACATCTGTTTTTAGAGAAGATGACAGAAATTTGGTGCTCCTCTGTCTGATTAGCTCACCCTGTTTCCCAGATCTGGCTCTAAATGACTTTGGCAAGCACTGAGGGAGGTTCAGTCATACAAACACACCACAAGCTACATAGTCACTTCAAATGTGGAACTCCAGGAAAGGTTTTGAGGAAAGGCAGCATCATGAAGATGAGGTTGCAAGGATCACAGCAGCAACCAATTTATTAAGCTCTTATCCATATGCCAGCATTGGGCTGAAGTGCTTTCCATGTCTCATTACTCATCCAAATTTCATCTGTGAAACACATACTTTTATTCCCATTTTACAGATGAAGATGGACACCAGGCCTGTGCAAAACCAAACTGCTGAGAAAAGTAGAGCAGAGACTTAGGTCCAGGACTGCCTGGTTTCAAAATCCATGCGTGAATTCTGACTCACTCCTATGTCTCTGTTCTTAGTCATATGTTCTCATGGTTACGCCCTGGATGCTGAGGGAAGGAAGCAGGGGGCAATGAGATCACCCTAGCACACTTATCAGCATATCCCCATTCCCAAGGGAAGGCTGTTATGGACAAAGTGAGAACATAGTCCCAGAGAAAAGGACGACCCTCTCTTTACCCTCGAAGTGTCCTGAACAGGAGACAAAGACCAAGAGGTGAGGGAAGCCAGCCAGCCCTTGGTCAGCTCTGAAGTAAATCCCTTGCTCTGGTGCCCTCTCAGCTGGTTTCTCAAGCCTCCTGCTGAATACTCAGCACTCTCCTCTCCCTGCCATCATTACTCCAAATACCAATTTCCTCTTAAATGGCAAGAAATCTCAGCTAAGGTGTTAGCTGACAACAGCTTATGTCATACTTCCTTACACTTATATCTAAATAAGAGATTCTTAAA